CTCATCTTTGTTAGTAAGGTACAGAAGAAACACATTTTATGTTTCTTTAGGCCTAATTTTTTTCCTGGTTAATGACCTACGACTGACCTTACAATGATGCAATATAATGTCCAAATTCTAGAGCTGAAAGATATTTACACATCATAAACAGGTCATGACAAAAGCCATTGAACTCTTTTAAATTCTTACTGAAAATGTCTCATTTGGATAAACTATGTATGGGAAGCTGCATATGCTATTATAGGCCAATTTAGTAAAGATAGTCTTTTCTATTAAAAAAAGCAACAAAAAAAATAACTGTGACAACCTATAGTTTGAAGAGTTTAAAACATAACATAATTATCTACTTTGTGTGAAGTCAAAACACGTTTATTTTATATTTATAAAGAGACTGTGTATCCATTGTCAATATTTTCTAATATTAGATTTGAGCATAGAATATCTTTAAACTATAATTTGAAGAAATGCCATACCCTAGGGCATTTTATTTTTTAGCTTTAACAGGGCCAATGAAATTAATATGAACAAACTTGATGAAAGACTACCTAAGAATGCTACAGACAAAATTGGTGATCATCCATCCATTACTTCTGTAGAAGGAGATGTTTAAAGGTATTTCTATTATAAGCTTTAGCTGCCCCAATCAAATAAATATGAGCAAACTTGATAAAAGACTACCTAAGAATGCTACAGACAAAGTTTGGTGATTTCAGTAGGAAATGATGTTCAAAGGTTTTTCTATTTTTAGCTTTCAAGCCCCCCCCCCCTAAAAGGGACCAATCAATTTAATATTAGCAAACTTGATAAAAGACTACCTAAGAATGCTACAAAGTTTGATCATCATCCATCTATTAGTTCTGTAGAAGGAGATGTCTAAAGGTTTGTCTATTTTTAGCCCTAGAGACCCCTCAAAGGGGCCAATCAAATTAATATGAGCAAACTTGATGAAAGACTACCCAAGAATGCTACAGACAAAGTTTGGTGATCATCCATCAATTAGTTCTGAAGAAGAAGACATTTAAAGGTATTTCTATTTTTAGCTATAGCGGCCCTCAAAAGGGGCCAATCAAATTAATATGAGCAAACTTGATAGAAGACTACATAAGAATGCTACAGACAAATTTGGTGATTATCCATCAATTAGTTCTGTAGAAGAAGATGTCTAAAAGGGGCCAATCAAATTAATATGAGCAAACTTGATAAAAGAGTACGCAAGAATGCTACAAACAAAGTTTGGTGATCATCCATCAATTAGTTCTGTAGAAGAAGATCTTTAAAGGTTTTTCTATTTTTAGCTCTGTTGACCCCTAAAAGGGGCCAATTGAAATGACATGAGCAAATTTAAGTGTGACTGTCACAAGGATGCTACAGACCAATTTTTAGGTAAATCTGCCCAGCAGTTTCAGAGAAGAAGACGATTACTGACGCATGACGCCGGACGGCGGAGTATCCCCCTTTGATACTAATAGCTCACCCTGAGCCTTCGGCTCTGGTGAACTAAACAAGAGGGCCATGATGGCCCTAGATCGCTCACCTGACTTATCAAACTCATCCAAACAATTACCTAGACAAGCATTCTGACCAAGTCTCATGACATGTGAGTCAAAAATGTGACCACTACAGTGATAACAAGGATTATCCATATTTGAGCAGTGCGAGCTAGTTTTTTACCCAGGTGACACATATTCAAACTTGACTTAGAAATCATCAAAACAAACTTTCAGACCAATTTCCAGGATACTTGGATCAAAACAGTAGCAACTAGAGTGTTAACAAGATTTTTCTATTTTTTGCTCCGGTGACCTAGTTTCACATACAATTTCGAACTCATCCAAGCAATTACCTAGACAAGCATCCTGACCAAGTTTGATGATTATAAATTGAGTCGAAAATGTGACCACTAGAATGTTAACAAGGTTTTTCCATATTTGGGCGGTGTGACCTAGTTTTTCATCCAAGATGACCCATGTTCGATCTTGACTTAGAAAATCATCAAAACAAACTTTCAGACCAATTAACAGAATATTTGGATCACAACAGTAGCCACTAGAGTGTTAACAAGATTTTTCTATTTTTAGCTCCTGTGACCTAGTTTTTCATCCGAGATGACCCATGTTCGATTTATTCCCAGCAATGACATAGACAAGTTTTCTGACCAAGTTTGATGACAATTGAGTCAAAATTGTGACCACTGGTGTGTTAACAAGGTTTTTCTATTTTTAGCTCCTGTGACCTAGTTTTTCATCCGAGATGACCCAAGTTCGAACTCATCCGAGCTATCAACTAGACAAGCATCTTGATCAAGTTTGATGATGATTGATGCAAAAATGTGACCGCTAGAGTGTTAACAAGGTTTTTCTATTTTTAGCTCCGGTGACCTACTTTTTCATCCGAAATGATCCATGTTCGAACTCATCTGAGCTATCACCTAGACAAACATTCTGACCAAGTTTGATGATGATATAGGCAAAAATGTGACCTCTAGAGTGTTAACAAGGTTTTTCTTTTTTAGCTCTTGTGACCTAGTTTCTCATCCTAGATGACCCATGTTCGAACTCATCCGAGCTATCAACTAGATAAGCATCCTGACCAAGTTTGATGATGATTGAGGCAAACATGCGACCGCTAGAGTGTTAACAACTAAATGTGATCAGTGGGTGAGCTTAATGTTATTCTGTTTCCGTGCATGTAAAAAATGTACTATGTTTAAATTTATCTTAGCGGTCCAATTATATATATACTAGTAAACACTTTGAAACACTTTTAGAACTTTAAACAGCAATATTTCCAGAGGGCTTATAAACTATATTTTCTGCATCTGAAACAAGGCAATATATCCTATATGTGGTCTTAAAAAAAAGAATTTGAAATCGGATTGCTGCACTTCCCTGTTATTCTTCGCCTTCATATTTTACTATTTTGATCTGAGGAATCCCTGACATTTAGGAGGAATCCCTCAATTAAATCTCAGGGATTCCTATGGGATCCCTTGTAAAAACAGTTAGTGTCGAACCCTGAAAGGATGAAAATAGGTGGCATTTACTGGAAACTGAATTTGCCACTTTGTGGTGGAAAAATGGTTGAAAAGTGTCTAAATACTCCACCAACTTTCCACCCTAATGGTGGCAAAAGGTGGAAATAAGTGGCATTTTGTGGAAAATGAGTTTGCCACTCAATGGTGCCATAATGATGGAAATTCGTCTAAATACTCCACAAACTTTCCACCCTGATGGTGGCGATAAGTGGAAACAAGTGGCATCAAGTGGAAAATGAGTTTGCCACCCTAAGGTGGCATAATGGTGAAAGATTGTCTAAATACTCCACCAACTTTCCACTCATTGGTGGCATTTATTTAAAAAAAGGTGGAATTTACTGGAAAATTTTCTACCATCAGTCCTGCTCAAAATGTTTCACCATTTTCATGATTTGGGTGGTGTTTTGGTGGCATTATTGGTGGAAAATTGTCTAAATACTCCACCATTGAAACGGGTGGCATTGAAGTGGCAAACTAGGGACAGGAAATACCCAGGAGCAGAAGAGAAGATTTTCTAAAGAAATTATGTACTTTCACTACATATTCAACAGAGCCACCCCCACCCCCCCCAACCCCCATCCCAGCACCAGAATCCTTGACCCTGGGACCATGAATTTTACAATTTTGAAAGAGGGCTCAATGCTTATAACAATCATGCCAACAGTTTGACTGCTTGATGCCAAATAGTAAAGAAGATATTTTAAGACTGCATTAATTTTTATGGTTTAAGCCCCACCCCTCTGGCCCTTATTAAAAGGCGGGTAGGAGCCATGAATTTCACACTTTTTGTTCCTTTCACTCATAAATGCAAAAATTGACTGAAATTGGTTTAGTGGTAACAAAGATGAAGCTTAAAATGTTGAAGAATTAATGATTTGCACTACATAATCATTTAAGCATTAAAGCCCTGATCCTGGGGCCATAATTATTTTACAATTTTGGAAAAAAAAAAACCTCTCTCTTCATAACTAAGTTCCAAAGTTTTAAGAAACAATGTACTTTCACTATATATTCAACAGAGCCCCACCCTAGCAGCTGAACCCATTACCCTCAGGCCACGAATTTCACAATTTTGGAAGAGGGCTTAATAATGCTTATTACAATCATGCTAACAGTTTGACTGCTTGATGCTCAGGAGTAGAGCAGACGATTTATTGAAATTGGCTCAGTGGTTCCAGAGAAGAAACAATGCACAACACACAACGATAGACAAAAACGGAAAGCAATATATTTACTCAGGTGAACTAAAAATGCTATGCCACCTCATTAATACAACAGAAGTATATTGTTTTTTTGTTTCTAGACAATTGGACTTTGCCATAATGCAGTAGAGTCTAGTGAATTTGGGGGTCAAGGTTATATTTCAGCATTTCAAATGAATGACAAAGTGCAGATGTGTCTAATGTTAAGATGATAAAGGGTCATTTTTATTGATATATTCTTTTCTTTAATAGAGGGTGCCCCTGCCATTTTTGAATGATCTCTATTGTTTTCTTTTATTCTGCTTACAGTTAGATGGCCCTCTTTCCATATTCAGTAGTGCGGAACAGACAGACAGAGGAGAAGTAGCAGCGAAAACAATAAATCAAGTGACCCCCAATTTAGGCTGATAAAGCCATAACCTACATTCAGCATAATGCCTTATTATAAGTAAGATTTCTACCAAAAAGATTTAATTTTTTTATATCGGCTGTAAGATACACAGCAGGCACAAAATTTTGAAATTCATACATAATAACTTTGTGTGAACTTGACCTTGACCAAAGCAAGATCAAAACTGAGTTCTGCAAAAAATTGCTCATTTTGTTAACATTATTGCTGCCAAGTAGTTTCAATTTTCATGCATTGGTTAAAAAAATACAGAGTAGACACGAAATCGCTAACAGATTGACAAACTGCAATGTTCATAATAATATTCACCAAACTTTTTTCCGGTGTATAAAAAGATAAAATGGTGATTGTATACCTATGTACAAAGACTTGTGTCATGCCTAGACTTCTAGCTATTGCACATGCATGTTGACCACCAGCTCCTCCAAAACACGCTAATATATGCCTTGATGTATCATGGCCTTTAGCCTAAAACACAATATCACTATGGTAAGAAATTAAGGTAATAATTATGTACAAGGACTCTCCAAAAAGTTTGTGACAAATTTTATAGACAGTTTATTTTTAACATGACAATCCACATAATTAATCTATAAAATAATTGTTCTATATTACATAGCATCATTTACAAAATATCAAGTTTCATACTTAATTATACTTCCGTTATGACATTATTTTTCATAAAGCCTCTGGCTTCACATATACAATAGCATGTTATTCTAACACTCACTTAATCAAGCACATTTTAAAAAACAGAAATTATGTCACTTATATGTTCCGGATGATTTGCAAATATCCACACTATCAGATCAAAGTTATTCTAGTGCTTGTTCAGGCAGCAATCCGTGATAGGCATGGTGATTGTTTTGTAACTTTTGCTAGATATCCTGTTTAAACTAGCAGATAATGTATTTTCTTAGAAATTGTTTATAACGCTGTGTTACGGCTTTGATATTTATATTTTTTCATTTTTATCGTGTAACCATGTTACAGTAATTTTTTGCATATTTTTTCAACTTTTTTTTGGAAGCCTTACTAGAAAAATTTTACCTTGTGTTACGAGGGTCTCTACTTTTTTTATGTGGTGTATCAAATTGTGTTACGGTAAGAAACATTTTGTCTTGTTTCTAAGGTGAATTTGACGTCTTTTACAAGTTTTTTCTTGTTTATTTTTGTGGCATTACCGTGTTACCGTGCTTTTATTATGGATGAGGCGGCCATTAGTCTCTTTCATGATGATGACCAATCTTCCTTTTCGGGTTTTTCCGATGAAGATGGTGAAAATATTTCTCCATCTCTTACTATCCCCCTATTGGTGCAAATATTACAATAAGTTCACATGATGCTCCAGATGCACCTCAAGTGAAGGGTAAAGGGAAATCCTTTAAAAAGTAAAGTGAGTGTAGTCAAGAAACTACTTCACAACCTGTTTTAATACAGAAAATCGTAAACGCCAAAAAGCTAAAGGTAATGCTTAGAAAAAGGTAAATTTTGTCAGATAATATTTCAAGTTCTGACCTAATGGAATTAAAGAAGAACAAGAGCCGATTGAACCAGGTGATGCTCTCTGAATAGGTTTTGAACACAGGAAGGTATACCTCTTGAAGTGTCAGAGTTATGTCACAGACAAAGTTCAAAGTGTAAAAAACACCCAAATGTTGCATGTGATAAGTCGTCTCAGCACGGTGATCATTTCTATGAAATAGTTGTAAAATCAGACTTCAAATAACAAAGTTATGGGCCGGACACGATTTTGCTGCAAGGTCATGCTGTGACCTTGACCTTCAAGGTAGTGACCCTAATGTTGCTCACAACATGTCGTATCAATATGGGGATCATTTTTGTGAAATAGTTGTAAAATCCGACTTCAAATAACAAAGTCATGGGCCGGACATGATTACAGATCTATATGTACTGTACTTTGATGCAATAATATTTATATTCTGGTGTGTTGTATTCATCATTTTCAAATATTTGTAATTCTGATTTTATTTTGTCCTAGAGTTGTAAACCTAGCCACATATGCTGAGGTTGATGATTAGAAACATATATTTTTAGTTTCATGAAAATGTTTTCACTACTTTTTGAGTAATGACAAATATTGTTATATTTGCCATATATTAAGCCTATTTGTTGCCGTAACAACTAAATTTTTCAACATAGTAAGAAAAGAAAAATAAGTGCATAATCTCCAGACTGCCATCTATCCATATATCAAGTTTCATAGAAATATTTTCAGTACTTTTTGTGTTATGGCAGGATCCAGTTTATGTGTTAAATTTGCCATATTTTCAGTCTATATTTTTTGCCATAGCAACCAAAGTTTTCAACATAGGAAGAAAAGAAAAAGACGTGCATAATCTCCAGACTGCCATCTATCTATATATCAAGTTTCATAAAAATATTTTTAGACTTTTTTTTCATACTTTTTGTGTTATCACGGGATCCAATTTTGCGGACGGAAGGACTGACTGAGGGACAGACAGACAGACGGACGAAGGGTAAACCTAAAGTCCCCTTCGCTTAAACCAGTAGGGGACTAATAAACCAACTACATCTAATTGTAATGATTAATTTGATTGCTTATCAAGTTCAACAGCGAAGCGTTTACACCATCTCAGTAGGGGCGGAGCGTTGCATTGTTTTATCGATATTATTGGATAATACACGTCACGCGTATACTTCATTTGTATATGCTAAAACGGTTTGGGAAAAAGAGTTTTTCACACATTTATATCTTGTGTTTTGATTGTTAACACTTGCGACATTACGAGGTGGCATTCTCTAAAAACATAAATACTTGAGAGGTAAAAGTGGTAGTTAAATGAAAATTCATATGGAGATATAAAATTATACACCAATATATACATGTATATCTGGTCAATTAATGCACAAATCAAGTGAAAATTCAATAATTTAACCTTCAAGGTCAAGGTCATTAAAGAGCCAAGGTAGATTTAAGTTTGATATACATGAAGGTTTTGTTCTTAAGAATGTTCTGTTATATACAGTCAATCCATTCAATAATAGCAAAGTTACAGCCAAAACTAGAAATGTGTCATCATGCTACGGATGCCCCTGAATGCAGCCAAAATTTCAGATGTTATAATATTTAGTTCCAAATTTGTTTGCACAAATTATTTTTTTCATTTTAAGTTCAAAGCCCTTAAAACTATTCAATGTTAACACAAACCATTTTTTATGAAATTATTCAGTCTTAACCTTTTGTAAATTGCATATTGCATATTTGTAGCCAAAATAATGGCCACATACATTTCCACCAAAATATGAGTGCTGAAACTGAAAATTCAAAATTTTTCCAACATTCAAGAAAGATAAGTTTGTCCAAAATCATTGAACCACGACCAAATTCAAACTTGAACAGCTTATTCCTAAGATGTATGTATATGTCAAATTTGAGTTAATGTGTACAACCATTGGGGAGATAATGAACGGAAACTTTAAATTTCTGATTTTCTTTCAAAGTTCAAAAGGGAAAACTCTGTTAGCTATCATTAAACCATGACCAAATTCGAAATTGACCAATGCATTCTTATGACATATCCATATCTTTAATTTGAATTGAACATGTTGGGGAGTCTTATCATAATGAATGGGAACTGAAAATTTCCTTTCTTTCAAGGTTAAAAGTGCATAACTCTGCCAAAAATCATTGAATCATGACAAAATTCAAACTTGACCTGCACTTTTTTTTGACATATCCATATGTCAAATTTGAGTTGAATGTGTAATACCCTAGAGGAGATAATGAATAGAGACTGAAAATTTGATATTATTTTCAAAGTGAAAGGGACATAACTCTGCCAAAAATCATCGAACCATGACCAAATTCCAACTTGACCTGCACATTCCGTTGACAGATTCAAATTTGAGTTGAATATGTAACACTATTGGGGAGATAATGAACAGAAACTGAAAATTTCATATTATTTTCGAAGTGAAAGGGGCATAACTCTGCCAAAAATCATTGAACCATAACCAAATTCAAACTTGACCTGCACATTCCATTGACATATCTATATATCAAATTTGAGTTGAATGTGTTGTACTGTTGGGGAGATAATGAACGGAAACTGAAAATTTCATATTACATTCAAAATAAAAGGGGCATAACTCCGCCAAAAATCATCAAACCATAACCAAATTCGAACTTGACCTGTATTTTCTCATGACATATCCATATGTCAAATTTGAGTTGAATGTGTGCAACCGTTACCAAGATAATGAACGGAAACTGATGATGACAGAATGACGGAAGGACGGAATGACAAAACAGGGTAACTCTATATGCCCGGCCATTTTATGGCGGGGGCATAAAAATGAAAATTTCAATAATTTTTCACGATGAACAATGTGCTAAGGTGAGTTAAACAAGAGGGCCATGATGGCCCTGAGGTCGCTCACCTGTATATAGGCCTCCCCCCACCCCCTGGCGGGGCCAATTTTAGTCCAAGGGCTTTTATTTGAACAAACTTGGTAGACACCCATAAGTAGATGTTTCATGCTAAACATCTAAGCACTGAGCTCATTGGGTTTTTTCAAAGAAGATTTTTAAGTTTTTACTATATGCATATAGGGCAAATCAAAGACCCCCTGGGGCGGGGCCAATTTTGACCCCAGGGCTTTTATTTGAACAAACTTGGTAGACACTCATTAGAAGATGTTTCATGCTAGATATCTTAGCTCTAGCTCTTTGGGTTCTTTAAAAGAAGATTTTTTAAGTTTTTACTATATGCATATAGGGAAAATCAAAGACCCCCTGGGGCGGAGCCAATTTTGACCCCAGGGCTTTTATTTGAACAAACTTGGTAGACACTCATTAGAAGATATTTCATGCCAAATATCTAAGCTCTAGCTCTTAGGGTTTTTTTAAAAGATGATATTTAAAGTTTTTTCTTTTGGTTGCCATGGCAACCAGAGTTCTGCATGGAATTAAATTCTTTGAACAATTTTTAAAGGGGACCACCAAAGGAACATTCCTGTGAAGTTTGGATGAAATTGGCTTAGTGGTTTATGAGGAGATGTCATTTAAAGTAAAAGTTTATGGATGGACGGACGCCGGACGGACGCCGGACGAAAAGCGATCACAAAAGCTCACCCTGTCACTTTGTGACAGGTGAGCTAAAAACAGTTGAGATTTCTAGAAAACTTAAAAATGCAAACTGTATCATTGTATGAAATATGACTGTAAAATGTACAAATGTTATCACATAAATGATAACTAAAGATGCTTTCAGAAAAAGCAACAATTTACTGAATAAGTTGTTGCAAAAAACACAAACAAAATAAACAGAATTTAAACCAAAAAAGTAACAAAAATTGTAAAAAGATATGTAACAAAAATATACAAAATTGACAAAAAAGGTAACAATGCAAAAACAGAACATCAATAAGCACAAGGTAAGGCCATTTACACATAACATAGAGATATTCTGATACCTGTTACACAATTCCTGGAACCATCATACAGATGTTTTTCAAGAAACTCTGTCATAAATATGAGTGAAAATATAACAAGTTACCAGAAAAATCCCAGCCTTTTGTGTTCCGACCCCAGTGATCAGTACAACATTAGTTTGAACAATCTTTATAAAATCTGCAGCAGTAAAGTTATCTCATACAACCAGAAGCTTATTAAATAATATCACAGCAAACTAAATAAATATCAAACATCTCAGTGAAACAGATGAACCCTTCCCCTGCTGTGTAATAGACTTGCCCAGATTTGATTCTGGAACAGTTCATTACCAGTTTTAGGGATTGTGTTATAAAATTACCTAATTACAGCCTGGTCAGATATCGCAATGTGTAGGTTGACAGAACAGTCAGGGCTTTATTCACATAATATTATTTTTAAAGGGGAAGAAGAAACAAGAGGGCCATGATGGCCCTGAGGTCGCTCACCTGTATATAGGCCCCCCCAACCCCCCAACGTTGCAGGGCCAATTTAACCCAAGGGCTTTTATTTGCACAAACTTGGTAGACACCCATAAGAAGATGTTTCATGCTAAACATCTAAGCTCTAGCTCATTGGGCTTTTTAAAAGAAGATTTTTTTAAGTTTTTACTATACACATATAGTTAAAAACAATGACACCCCTGGGGCCGGGCCAGTTTTGAACCCAGGGCTTTTATTTGAACAAAATTTGTAGACACTTACTAGAAGATGTTTCATGTTTAATATCTAAACTCTAGCTATTTGGGTTTTTTCAAAGAAGATTTTAAGTTTTTGCTATACACATATAAAGAAAATCAATGATCCCCGGGGCGGGGCCAATTTTGACCCCAGGTCTTTTATTTGAACAAACTTTGTAGACACTCACTAAAAGATGTTTCATGCTAAACATCTTAACTCTAGCTATTTGGTTTTTTTCAAAGAAGATTTTTTAAGTTTTTGCTATACACATATAAGGAAAATCAATGACCCCCCGGGGCGGGGCCAATTTTGACCCCAGGGCTTTTATTTGAACAAACTTGGTAGACACTTATTAGAACATGATTCATGCTAAATATCTAAGCTCTAGCTCTTATGGTTTTTTAAAAGAAGATATTTAAAGTTTTTTCTTTCGGTTGCCATGGCAACCAGAGTTCTGCATGGAATTAAATTCTTTGAACAATTTTTAAAGGTGACCACCAAAGGAACAATCCTGTGAAGTTTGGATGAAATTGGCTTAGTGGTTTATGAGGAGATGTCATTTAAAGTAAAAGTTTACGGACGGACGCGGGACGGATGACGGACGGACGCCGGACGAAAAGCGATCACAAAAGCTCATCCTGTCACTTTGTGACAGGTGAGCTAAAAACAAAAGATTTTTTATTTATTTAATTTGACCTTGACAGTAAAGGTCAAATAAAAGTCAGTCACATCTAAATCATTCAATACCTTTGTTTGGTAGCAAGTCTTGTTTTGTCCAAGTATAAATCAAATTCGTACATAAATAACAATATTATGACAATTTAACCAAAATGCAATCAATTGACCTTGTTGGTCAAAGTCATTTAAAAGTCAAAGTCAGTTCAACTTTTGAGAAGGTCTTATCCAAAAGGTCATTTGTTCAAGTATTAGGATAATCCATTTATTAATCATCAAGTTAGAATCAATTATAGCAAAAATTAGTGGAATTCAATAATTTAACCAAAGATCATAAATGATACAAGGTCAATTTGAGTTTGATAAAGGACTTTTTATGTCTTAATATGAAGTCAATCCATACATTAATAACAAAGTTATCAGGAACACTGCCATGACTGAAACAATACCTCTTTATTTTTTTCTTTCAAAAAAAAAGTTGAGCTTATAATCATATTTTTTAAATATCTTTTAAAGGGATACGCAGGCAAATAAATGACAAAAAAATCAAAATGATTTAATGTACTCAAATCACGCTAAAATGACATTTTCTAAAGTCCCAGCATGAAATGCTGTATAAATTCTATTTATTTTGGGTTTGAAGCCTAAATATATCTAGATGTATTGAACGAAATTTAGACGCCGACAGAATCACCGAATAGTTTTAAATCAAGCCATGTGACTTGAACAAACCCTGGAAGTTACAATAACAGATATTGTGGATATTGTATGATTGAAACAAGTTTAAGGCATTCATTTTGGCATGATCTTTAACGTTTCCATAGTTCACTGTGGGACTTATGTGATATCTTAACGCTCTAACCTGACCCACGCGGGTCAAGTTAGGAAACCAGCATTCTATTCTTTATAAAGAGAAAAGTTTTGTTCCTATTACTGCCTAGTGTATTTATTTTGATGACATTTACAGAAGGATGAATGAAAAAATCAAAACGAAGAAATGAAAATTTTGCCTGTGTCTCCCTTTAATATCTATTTAATATAGCTTAATATCTGAAAAGTACAAACAGATCACTGGTCTCAAAGCAATATCTGGAATACTTATAACAAGCAATTCAATTTAGACTTTCTGTTAATACTTTTTTCAAATTTGATTGCCATTGTGTTTCCCATATTCTTGAAATAACATCTTATGAGGAAATATTTTAATACAACTACAATTAATCCATGTTGATCAATGTTTAAATTATTTTGATAGATGATGATAGCAATATTTGTTGTTTAATCAATCCAAGTTTCAATTTCTTTAATGTAAGTAAATTTTTTCTCAGAAATTTAATTTGAAAAATAAATATATAAGTAGTTCTAGGACTGATAAAAAGAAAGCATATTTTGAAAACCAATGTAAAACTATTTCAGATCTAGTCTTGAAACAGAATGAGTCCATTTGAGTTTTGACCTGCACTTTATCCACTTCCTCAGATGATGCTGTGTAAGTCTCATCACTATTTATAAGGACACCTCTTTTGAGATTTCCTTTAGATAAAGTTGTCTAGGAAAACACTGATAGATATTGCAAATTCTGCAAAAGTTTCCTGTCTTCTTCATAGACAAATCTATTATTGGATATGCCCATATCAAATTTTAGTACCTAAATAACTTTGTTCATGATCAGCCAAAGAAAAAAATTGAATGGTCTAATTTCAATATAACCATATAAACTTGTTGGTATGTATCTTTCAGACTCAACTTTAATAAAAAATTGTTATATTCTTATATCTGATGACCGAAATTGACTGATAATATTTATCTAAGTATGAAGACATTCATTAAGAATCTTTTTCTTTTATTGGCCCATAATTCTACTGTTAACAATGAACTTTACTGTTCCCCTTCTATCATGTTTACAGTTTAATGGACCCTTATCTATTTCTATAGTACAGATATACTGCAAGATGCATAATATCAGCCAAATTTTTTAGGGAGTATAATCAACAGGTATACCAAGTTTGAGTGAATAGCTTTTGTTAGCTTTCAGAGAAAATGGACCATTACCTTTTAACAGTTACAGGTCACACTGACCTTAACATTTGACCTGAAAACTGGTAAGACATGTAGAACCTTTCAAGAGCACATATTTAAGTTTCAATATTATAGCTTCATTAGTATTGACATTTATGACCATCAACTAAAACTTAACCAAAAACGTTAACCAGGTCATCTCCACCTTTTTACTTTGAAAAATAGAGCTAGAATCCTCATATGACTTAACATGTTGCCAACAATTTCATTTGTAATAATTCAATACATCTATATAAATAAATACCATGTCATTACCTGTGTAAGAGCTCTTATTGGTCGACACATCGTCTCATTTGCAACCTTTATAAATCCCATAGCAACCTCTTCTAATGACATCATCTGGTCATTTGAACTGCTACTTTGTGTCTGCATGAATTCATTTACCTACAAATGCTAAGCTATTAATATATTAGAACCAACTGATCTTTCCCAACAGTATATACACAGGCATGCTATCCTTACTATGATGGCTGATAAACTAAAAAAAAAAATTTTAACATCCTTGAAACATATTAGTGACCTTAAAGGTCAAGGTCATTATGAGTAATGGTCAATATAATTCTTGTCTACTTAAAGGATAATTGTGTCCAAGTATGAAGACTTAACGAGAGCCACGGGCAACACTCTACTTTTTTTAACTTTTTCAAACATAGGACACGGGTGCCCCCACACTCCACCAATTTGTCAATCCAATGTCTCTAGGTCAAATTTTTTTTTTGGGTACATGTGCCAAAGTTGAAAACTAAAAATCTTTTATTAAGTAAAGGGCAAATACAACAAATACTGGATAAATCCACAAGAAAACCCCTAGGTGCATAAGTACACATGCTGACCAACATTCTTGTAAAGTTTCAGGCCTACAGGTTATAACATTTGTTAGTTTTTACTAAGTCAAGGGCAATAACTTGAAAAATACTAAAAATATCCATACAAAAATACCAAGGTGCACAACTTCACATACTAAGCAACACTCTTGTAAGGTTTCATGACTCTAGGTCAAATACTTTTTTAGTTACGTGCGACGCAAGTTGAAAATTGGAAATTTTTACTAATTCAAGGGCAATAACTCTAAAAATACTAAATATATCCTAAAACTAGAAATGTGTCCATAGGACACGGGTGCCCCCACACTCCACCGATTTGTCAATCTTATGTCTCACACATTACCGGCGCTAGTGATGGCAGATCACTGCAGTGATGGCAGATAGCTGAAATTTACCGCTCGGTACAGGTAGGTTATAAATTTGGTTGGTATTATTATATTACACAAATACGGCCCATTCTATTGCTATGAAACTATTGTTCATTGACTGGAGATACTATTAGGTAATTTTGGACTCGTTTTTTTCCTGTTTTTAGACTATTTTGAGCAGGTTAAAAGTGACAGCTTCGGAAAAATCCGTGAAAATGTCTGTTTTTTGTTCAAAATATCTCAAGTTTTAACTAAATGGCAGGATTTTGTGTTATTAATATAGACGTTCATCCATTCAGCATTGGGGTCACGCAGGCCAAATATCTACCCTGTGAGTCTTTTTTGAAATTTTTAAAGACGTTCAATATGGTTCGGTCGAAGAAAAAATGCTGCCGTTTCAGGCAGATACTTATTTTAAATGCTGCGGTCAATGGCAGAAATACCATGAAAGTGGCTAACATTCTGACAGAAAGTCAAGGTCAATCTTTTATCAATTCCTCTATTCTTTGCGCCCTTTTAGTCGGAATTTAGACGTTAAACTATCATTTCTAATATTTTCTCAAGATAGAAAAGATATTAATTAATACGATATACGATATGTGCATCGAAAAAGCTTTTAAGTAACACGTAGTTACAATACAAAATGTGATGATTCAGTACAACCAAATTGCACTATAAATAGAGCAATTAACATGAAGAAATTCATTTTTCTATATTCATGCATGTGTGCTTGATCTGTTGTGTCTGTCAGTTACATGCATACAATACCATATGTATCTTAAGTTTAGCAGCGCATAATTCACTCCCTTTTCAAGACATAACGCCATTTGCATATTACAGCTGTAACTTCAGTAAGTGGATATTCATTTGCTAGCATATGACATTATTTTCTCGAGGTAATAATGTTCATCGCTTTATGACATATAAAGGCTGAAATTTACTTAGTCGGCGCTAATGCTGCAGATTATAAGTTACTAAATCAGTGTAATATAGGGAAGATTATTAATCTTGCAACTGACAAGATCTGTGGACATCAGTGTATCATAAAACAATAAATGTTAATGTAATTATCGACAGTTCAAATATTTTCCTATATTATCAAGTTCTTGAAAAATACGACAACGTGGATTCATTTCTTTAAATTTTCATGTTTGAAATCGCATTGTAGTTTGCCTTTTACTATTACATTTACTATGCTAAAATTTTAACAACAATACTAACAGTAAGGTGGACATACAACGCGATGTCAAACATGAACAAGAGCTGTCGGTAGGACAGCACGCTTGACTATTCTAAGTGCTTTATACTTAATGAGCCTTGATAATGTTAAATTTTCTAAGTTCACAAAAGGGCTAATTTTTTTTTATAAATTCATGTTATAGGCCTTAGAGAGAGTCTAATTATACAGTATTGGCTTGTCTATTTGGAAAGTAATGTGACAAGGGTGTTTTATTGGGTATAATAATACTAAATACCTATGAATACATAAAATTGACAGAAAACGTACAAAGGCTTGTTATTTAGATGTTTTATCAAGTAAATCACTGCTTTATTATAATGAATGCATAAAATTGTCCCAAACTAGAAATGTGTCCATAGGACACGGGTGCCCCCACCGCGCCACTGTTCTGTCAATCTTTTTACTAAGTCAAGGGAAATAACTCTACAAATACTTGATAAATCCACAAGCGAAACCCCAGGTGCAAATCTAAATATGTTGAGCAACCTGCCCATAAGGTTTAATGACTATGTCAAATCCTTTTTGAGTAACTTGCGACACAAGTTGAAAATTGCACAATTTTACTAAGTCAAGGGCAATAACTCTGAAAATACTAAAAAAAAAAGACGAAAATACCCAGGTGCACAACTACACATGCTGATCAAAATTCCTGTAAAGTTTCAGGACTCTAGGTCAAATACTTTTTGAGTTACGTGCGACACAAGTTGAAAATTGCAAAATTTTACTAAGTCAAGGGCAATAACTCTGAAAATACTAAAAATATCCACACGAAAATACCCAGGTGCACAACTACACATGCTAATCAATATTCCTGTAAAGTTTCATGACTCTAGGTCAAATACTTATTGAGTTACGTGCGACACAAGTTGAAAATTGCAAAATTTTACTAAGTCAAGGGCAATAACTCTGAAAATACTAAAAATATCCAGACGAAAATACCCAGGTGCACAACTACACATGCTGATCAACATACCTGTAAAGTTTCATGACTCTAGGTCAAATACTTTTTGAGTTACGTGCGACACAAGTTGAAAATTGCAAAATTTTACTAAGTCAAGGGCAATAACTCTGAAAATACTAAAAATATCCAGATGAAAATACCCAGGTGCACAACTACACATGCTGATCAACATTCCTGTAAAGTTTCATGACTCTAGGTCAAATACTTTTTGAGTTACGTGCGACACAAGTTGAAAATTGCAAAATTTTACTAAGTCAAGGGCAATAACTCTGAAAATACTAAAAATATCCAGATGAAAATACCCAGGTGAACAACTACACATGCTGATCAACATTCCTGTAAAGTTTCATGACTCTAGGTCAAATACTTTTTGAGTTACGTGCGACACAAAAGTGAACGGACGGACGGAAGGACGGACGGACGGACGGAAGGACAGACGGACAAGGGTAAATCTAAATGCCCGCCACTAACGTGGGGGCACAAAAAGGCATAAACCCTTCAGTAGTTATGGAGATAACAGCTTACAAGCAAAACTTTACCATGAATTTCTAAGTTGAAAAAGGGAAGAAAAATCAGCCTAAATGCAAGATAGAATTATGGATCTTTGTCAGTGACCTACAATTCTGACCCTTAATGCATATGTGAAGTTTTAAATAAATATCTTTAATAGTTATTGAGATATGTAAAACTTGCATGTAAACATTAACCAAGAGACTAAGTAGAAAAGGGGATATGAATCAGCCTTAATGCAAGATAGAGTTATGGAACATGGTCAGTGACATATAATTATGACCCTCAAATTATGACCCTAAGTACATGATTGTGTAGTTTCAAGTAAATATCTTTGAGGACCTTTAATCTTTAACCAAAATTTCTAAGTTTCAAAGGGGCATATAATTCTGCAAATATTGCAGACAGAGTTATGCAATTTTGCAAAATGATGTACATTGTTACTATAAAAAAGTATTGTAAATTTCAATTGAATATCTCAAGCAATAATTGAGATATTTGACTTTACAAAAAAAACTTTAACCAAAATTTCTAAGTTTCAAAGGGGCATAATTCTGTCAATATTGTAGGCAGAGTTATCCAACTTGTCAATCTGATGTACCTTGTTACTATAAATAAGTATTGTAAATTTCAATTGAATATCTCAAGCAATAATTGTATATTTGACTTTACAAAAAACTTTAACCAAAATTTCTAAGTTAAAAAGGGGCATAATTCTGTCAATATTGTAGGCAGAGTTATCTAACTTGTCAATATGATGTACCTTATTACTATAAATATGTATTGTAAGTATTAATTGAATATCTCAAGCAATGATTAAGATATTTGACTTTACAAAAAACTTTAACCAAAATTTCTAAGTTAAAAAGGGGCATAATTCTGTCAATATTGTAGGTAGAGTTATCCAACTTGTCAATCTGATGTACCTTGTTACTATAAATAAGTATTGTAAGTTTCAATTGAATATCTCAAGCAATAATTGAGATATTTGACTTTACAAAAAACTTTAACCAAAGCAGACGCCGACGCGGACGCTGACGCCGACGCCGGGGCGACTACAATAGCTCTCATATTCTTCGAATAGTCGAGCTAAAAGCTTATAAAGGGTAAAATTGTAACAAATTACCAACATCCCCCACCTAAGGGAAGTTTTACATGAAGCACAAAATTGTGCTATTTCAAAAGATCAAGGAAGGGATCTGGACTTTCATTGCAAAATTTTGATAAATGCTAGATCTGCACATACGAATAACAATAAATTCATAGAAGAAATATAATGAAATAACTCCTGTGTATATGTCAACAGAAATACATTTGTTTACCTGTTATCACTATTTCAGAGCCACAAAATGTGACAAATGCAAAATCAATATAGGATATGGTCTGTTACAGGGTATATTTCGTGTCCAGTCATCAATCAAGGTATTTTGGAAATTCACCAATGACATTTTATTTGCATGGGCCTGCCTGTAACAGACTAT